TACACAAAACTGCGATGCGATGCGATGCGATGCGAATTCGTAACGCAGAAAATTACGATACGAAATGCTGCGATGCGATTTCGTGCTACAAGGCGTCTCCCAGGGTGACCATTCCTTTGACGACCATCAACCGTACTAAACATATTTTAAATTGAAAACTAGGTCGTGACATGGATCATAAAAAAGTGTGCACTATTGTTATTGCTTAATTGCAGGAAAAAGAAACAAAGTAAAATTTGGGAAGATACGACTTTGATGTGTAATGCGAATCAATTCGCAAGTTCTTGCGATGCGTCGAGGGAGCTCGCACATTTTTGCGATGCGACGTTCGCATCACAAGCTAATAGGTAAGAATAAAAAAAACTTTATTTGGTTTTTCAATTTCGAAATTTTAATTAAGCACAGACTTTGGATCTGTGTGTGGTAAATACTAATTAAGAAAAGTCTACAAAATTAACTAGACTACGGAGTTTTAGAATACAGACTTGGCCACAGAGCAAGATTTGTGTCTTTACAGTCTTGATCTTCTTAGTAATTTCCTTTACTGTTTTTTTTGTTTCAAATCTGTGTCTACATGTGTACATAGTGCCATCAGTGTCATCATCATCATTAGCCTGTAATAGGCATGGCGACTATTTTTTAATTTTTTGTCCGTCTTTTAGATATTTTAAAAATCTTCGATACGTATTTTTTCTTTTTTCTCGTATCCAAAAAAACATGTAGATATTTTGAGTTAAAATGACGCGTGACGTCACACTTAGGTACGATTTCTCCGTAAGTGTGACGTCAACACCCCCCACTCCCTAACTTTAATGCGGAATAACTACGTATTCTTCTGTTAATTTGATAAAACAAAAAATATGTGTCTGATATTTTCGTGCGATCTTAATGACGGACTAATTACTTTTTTGATTTTTTTACCCTGTCGACACGCCTATTGCTGTGTAAAGGTTACCTACTTCTTGGACTAGAAATAAGTATAATAGCGTATAATAATAATTTTTACGTGTAATAATTACATAGTTTCGGCAGGTGCCATAGTCATTCATAGTTTCCTATTTACCACTCCATCCATAGGGATGGGTTGCTGTGGTAGGGCTATCCCTACCTTTATTTTTTCCATTATTCACTATAGTTCTACACTAACCGGGGACTGTCCTTGGGTGCATTTCCATAGTGCATACAGGGATAGTCGCCGGTTTGTGTGTCCATTACATTTAGATTAAAGTTGTCTAAAGGACCTCTGCGCAGTTGGCTTCGGGCCCTCGTACGCCTCCCAAATGACCGGGACTTTGTGGTCCCGTGAATAGTAAAGATTGTACCAGGCACACAATAAACCTGTCTATTTATTGATCACTTATTAAAATGAGAAGCAGCTGCAATGTCGGTACCACAACAATATAATAAAGTCGTCAGATGTGGCCAGCGATAAGTACGATTGTCTCTTGTTTATCGGCACTGGTTCACGCTTCCGCGGCCACTTCCAACGCTTTTTGTTATACATTCCGACTTCTTGTGTAGTTGTGCGACTTTTTGTCGCAGAAATTGTATTTTTATAGACTGCTACTTTTAAACTACTGCGTACAGTCTTTAGTATCATGAATGCTATCAACACAAAACTTGAATGAATTGTATCACACAAACACCCGAATTGAAACTAGACATTCATAAAAGGTCTTAATTAATAAATAGAATATTGTTTTTTAAAAGAGTAACGAATGGAGATTTTAGCTGGTTCTTCTCCTTTCGAATCTACATTTTGGAATGGGCTCCTAGCTTCACTGACGGACTGACAGACTATTATTTATATTGTATCAGTTGACGTTTCAAAAGTACCAAATTATGCTTTAATTAAAATAAATGCTTTGACTTTGACTTTCTATCCTTGTAATGGTTTAAAAGGTAGGTACACTCGTAAGATACAGGTAATAGATTGAGCGATTAACTTAAATTCACATAGTATGTGGATAGTAAAGTTTACATACATACAATGATGCATATTATTCAGTAGCTTACAATATTATTATTATAAAATTCCCCCATTCTCCATTTTACCTCAATATTACAAAACTGTTCAATATAAAAAGCGCTCGGTGTGCACACTCCCTTTTCAAAATCGAGAAATTGTCTTGCAATCTTTTTCAAATCAAACCTTTAACGAATTTTAAACTTTGTATCTGGAGTTTAGGGTTGATTTTCTGCTGTCGATGTGGCGCGTTGAAATGGACATTTTACATGGAAAAATAAAAATGTCTGCGTGTTTTATCTAAAGCGCAATGAATGGCAAATGCAGCGCCGGATTATTTTACATACAAGATAGCTTCGGTAGGATCGCTACTATTATTGCGATCCGATTTCAGTAAATCTATGCTCGGAATTCTTTAATAAAGAAGTAATTTTTGTAGACAAACATAGAACGGTTGAAGAACAATGGATTTGATATTGTTTGCATTGCAAAATACTTAATCTAACCTTGTGAACACTAATTAGCCATGCTGACAGGATTCTTTAAAAAGTTTTTACAAAATCAGTTGCTAAAACTACCCGGACACGACCAGCCCCAAAACTTGAAACAACAAGAACCGGTCTCCCAGCAACTAATTAAAAAGTTAAACAAATAAAATTTTAATAAACGCCAAAAATATAAATATTAAACCGCAACATTATGAATAGAAAGTCCGAAGTTGCGATAAATAACGGTTTTACTCGTCCCGGGGTTATCTTTTAAAGCGCACAGGCGTTGTTAAGGAGCGCCGTAAATTTAATTTTATTGCTTAAATACTTATAAAATTTTACAATTGTACCTACTGAAGAGCGTAATGAAAACACAGCTAGATAGGGCCTCTCTAATATCTTGTTAAAATTCGTGGCGTGTGCGTAGGGACCTATTTTTTTGGGCACCAAATGAAAATATTAGAGGCTAAACCTTAATTGGAGTGTAATTGTGACCACTAGGGGTTAACGAAAGATCCTCGAGATAGAATACGGCCTTTGGAGATTTGTTCTCTTAAATAAAAGAAATAGTATTGTGTTTATTTTACTTTGTAGGTATAGCTCTTTTTTCATTCCAAGATTTGACACCAAACTATTATGAATCCCCACCCATCTTCAAACATCTAATCCCCAAAAGCCGGTAACGCATTTGCAACGCCTCTGGTGATCCAAGTGTCTATGGGCGACGTCGATTGCTTACCATCAGGTGATCCGTCTACTGTTTTAAAGGCCTACCCCATAAATAAAAATATTCATGAGGTTTTTCAATGGCCCTTAAATTCGCAGTTATTTGAACAATCACCTCATACTGTCTCACTTTTCACTTAAAGTAAGAGAGAGACAGGAAGCATGCAGTCGCAGTCCCCTCGTATAATATTCATAACAGACGTTGTAGTTCTGAACTGCGATCTGAATACAGCGCGTGGTACAAAGTATTGTATGTACGGAACTATTCTTGACGTCACACAAACGTATAATGGGTTTATATTTCATTAAAAAAATTCAATCATAGTCCCCTATGTCCTTTGCTGTACTCGCCACTGAAGATATGCAAAATTACAATAAGATCGGTAGTGCACCTCTATATAAGACGTGAAAGGTAACAAATTGAACAATACTAATAAGTATATTAAAAACTAGCTGACCCGGCAAACTTCGTACCGCCTAAAAGTTTTTTCTTACCTTTTAAACCTTCCCTAGACTTCCACGAACCTATCAAAACCAAAATTAGCCAAATCAGTTCAGTCGTTCTCGAGTTTTAACGAGACTAACGAGCAGAAATTCATTTTTATTTATATAGATTTATATAGATATCTTCTTGTTCTAAGAGTGACCTTTTAGAAATAACTATGTACGTTATGTATGTATATAAGTAATAATATAATTTATAGGATAGTTAGCTGCACAAATACGACATAATTTTGTTTATAATGGATTGTTAAGAAAACTAACTTTAAATGAAATAATTCGCTATCAGTTTGTCCCTTGTACTCACCTTCATTTTTATTTCATACCCTTGTGTACAATAGATCATATTTTATAAAAATTTAAATCCCACTTTTGGCACAATTTGAACAAGAAGCCAGCGAATATGAAGCGGCTGTGGTTCGCTCAGTAACTGCTGGTGTTGTTTACACATGTGCTTTCCAAGATTATTTTCGAACAACATCTGGCTTATTGTATCTAGCTAGAACCAGTATACATTTCTGATTGAATAATTTGCCTACTCTCTACTAATATTGCAAATTTAAAGACTGTTTGTTTGTTTGTTTGTCCGTTTACATTCCTGGTTACCTTTGACTCGACAGGTGATGTCGTTTTAGACCATTTTAAAAAATATCATAAATCTTACCTGATAATTACATCACGCCTTTTATCCGCGAAGAGGTAGGCAGAGGTGCACATTACGTACTTACATGTCACTGTACAATGTAACACCCACTTTTCACCATTTATGTTATGAACCTATTGCCATATACCGGACACGATTCCAGACTCCGTGCTTCCACTGAGTTTTTTTTTAAAACCCAGTAATACTTGCCCGACCCTGGAATCGAACCCGAGACCTCTTGTCCGGCAGTCACACTTGCGATCACTCGGCCAACGAGGCAGTCGTTGTGAATGTGTTGTGAAAAGTGAGTTATAATGAAAAGTATTGTAAAAAATAAAATCGTCAGAACAAGTACGGTCATGTTCATGGTAATGTCAGTGTTATTTTTTAATAATAAGTTGTTAAATGGGTTTTAATAAAGACATTTCCAGACTCTGTGCTACTTCTGAAATTTTTTTTAAACCCAGTCGTTCTTTGCCCGGCCCGAGAATCGAACCCGAGACCCCTTGCCCAGCTGTCGCACTTGCAATCACTCGGCTAACGAGGCAGTCATTAGATCATAATAATACAGTATTGAAAATAAGAAAGTTATAAACTAACTAATAATATAAATAAAACCCTTTATGATGCTATACATTTACAACTTTAATTCTTCATTAAAAGAAATACCCTGTATAATTGACTAAATAAATTGTTCTAATGATAAAATCTGATACACATGAACTAGAACAATATAGTTTTAATTGTTGCTATCTTAAATACACCTGATGGTTCTTGTATATAATAGAAAATTTCATAATAAATCTATTGTCATGTAGAAAAGTAAAATAGACGTGGCGTGGACAATGTACCCGCAAGGCATGTGGACCAAGACATCGTCAGTCAGATCATAGAAATTACAATATCTATTTGTTCAACATTACATGTAATCGTATTTACTGAATTGAGTTTGTATTAGTACACGTTACTTAGGTCTAATTTCACAATTTAGCTTCACTTCTTCGATATTTATCGTAAATTCGTTTCCACGTGTGATAAATATCTGGGTTTCTCATCGAGGTCATCTCCAATGTATCGCCTATAGTTAAAAAGTTCAATTGTTCTTTAGTGTGGGGAAGCCATTTGATTGGAAACTCCCCTTTTGGTGACGGATCCCTGAAATAGAAAGAAAATTAATTTTAATTCGTTTGATCAGAAATAAGATATACATATATAACTTCACGCCTGTCGTTCATGGAGGTAGACAGAGATTATAGAACACCAATTTTTTTACATACAATTACATTCTTACATACCACTTTCGCTTCATCAACAGTCATCAGTCTTTTCATGCATCCTCGTCGGTTAAAGGTTAAAGAACAGTTTAAATTCAATATGAAGTTGTGGAAATAGTATATACTTAAAAATTTTTTTTACTAATTTTTCAAATAAAATCTTTATCAAGTACCGTGTGATTGTTTAGCATAAACTTACCCATATTTAGCAAAATTGGTTAACATTTTCGTCAACCAGTCTACGATTATTTGATCATCTTTGTTAACTCTGAAAGGCAATATTGTTCCTTGGAACGTGTAGAATAAATCATCCCCATGACAAGCTCCTTCCACGTTTTTATATTTAGTACTGGACTTGACATAATTGCGTCCTCCAGAATATGTGAAATAGTAACTATACACAGGAGCTTCAATATTCTTTGCCATTATCTCCGCCTCAAATATTACTGGCATCTCAAAATACGAATGTGTGTATAAATCAGATAGATTCATAATGTTTCTTTCGCTTATCGGTGCTCCATTAAAATAATACTTTTTTATTTCACGGTCGTTTTCATTTTCTTCATCTTTAGTTTTAAAAACTAAGTCATCTCCGAATACTGTTTGTTTGTTTTTACTCTCTAATGTTTCTTTTGTATCAACGTTGATGAAGAACAGTCCCTCTTTATCCGTTGAGGAAAACATTAAAGAAATATTTTTCGGATTTCTAGTCATTAATTTGTACGGTAAGTCTGTTAGAACTGATTCAACGCCAGGTATATGTTTCTCCACACATGGCAACGGTAATTGATAATTAGTTAAAAGCTGTGGTATAGGACTATGTGTTGTTGCCAAAACTATGTCTCTGACTGCTAATCTAGAAAATATTTCGTAAATTTCTTTTGGATCTTTTGTGTCATATCCTAATAGAGTCAAAATATTACTTGCTACAGATATGGGGTCGTTGCTTATGGCCCAACTTGCTAAAGATGATCCACTGTGCATAATTGCTCGTTTGAACAGACCATCAGTGGATTCGCTAGCAACAAGCAACGACACGGATGCTGCACCAGCGCTTGTTCCAAATATGGTAACGTTATCTGGATCTCCACCAAATGCTGCTATATTTTTCTTAACCCAACGTAAAGCTGCTACTTGATCTTTCAGACCGGCATTACCGGGTGCTTCTTCAGTGTGTAAACATAGGAAGCCTAATACACCAAGTCTATAGTTGAATGACACTAATATCACATTATGTTTAACTAAAAAATCTGGTCCTATAACCATTTTTCCTCCATTTCCAAGAACGTAAGCACCACCATGAATGTAGACCATGACAGGTAATGGTCCTTGAGCCCTTGCAGGAACATACACGTTGACTTTGAGGCAATCTTCTGTACCAACTACTTCAATGGGTAATCCCACTGGATGTTGTGGACACTGGTACATTTCGTCGACAGCCTTGTATACACCCTCCCATTTTGGTGGAGGTAATGGTGCCTGTAAATAAATTACATTGACGTTAGCAAGGATTCAAAATGTGAGAAGTTAATTATGTAATTCTGATTTGATCAGATCTGTTAAGGATCATGCAATGTTATGCACATGCAAAAACAGCATGCAATACTTTCAAAACGTGCGACTCACAGAACATTATAAAACTTTTTTATACATATATTCTGTGGTGCAATTCCTGAATGTTATAAAATTAGACTACAAACCCAATAACCTTTAACCCCAACATTTAAATAGTACTAGCAGTAACTAAATTAACATTTTTTTTTATTTCACAGACAATATCACAAACAAGATGCCAAACAAGATAATAAAATAGTAACAACGTGATCATTATGAAAAGGAATGTTAATTATAATTATTTCAAGTGCTGGTTGAGCATCAAAGGTAGGCATTAATAAAATTGGTTTAAGTACAAGCGGCAGTATAATATCAATAAAAGCACTTAAGATTTAACACCATTCAGTCTGTAAGTATGAATAAATAGAAATACGTACATACATATATAGACGTATCCAGTACCTACTGACATTTTGCCAGTTACGTCACCAATTATTATATTAATTCGGTAATGAGAATGTTGCCGCTTCTGAGAATTGTAGAATATATAATTATACAACATTTTTGGATTAGTTAGTAAATTATTTATTGAAGGTTATGTTTGTTAAATAGTAGCTAGGGTTTGTTTCATTGTGAAGAACTTCAATTACTTTTTGTAACAATAAATTATGTATTAATTAATGTAATTTTATCTGAAATCTAAAGCAAAACTAACGTATCGAAATCCAAATCTTTATATATGTAATTCTGCTGTACGTGTGTATGTCATTGAACTCCTCCTAAACGGCTTGACGGATTTAAATATATTTTTCTGTAAGCGTTCGAGTGGCCCCCTGGATGGATTAGATTCACAAATGAACCCGGCAGATGGCGCTGCAGTCGAAATCTAGGTTATTTATCAATACCTATTATTATATTATATGCAGGACAACGTCTGTCGGGTCCGCTAGTAATTATATAAAGAAATGAAAATTATTAAAAAAATATCATACTTGTCTCTGCAATTAATGGAATGTTGTTGGTACAATTGAATTAAATTATTTCCCAATTAACTATATCAATAACAAAGGTATACAATTCATAGATAAGTACAATTTGTACATTATGTTTATAGAGATAATATTTCTTACAAATAAATCTTTGACCTCTATTGATTACGTTATCAGTACATTTTGTATTGGACTAGTATAGATGTCAATCTATACAAATTGTAGGTCAAATATTTTCAATAGGATTTCAACTTTATTATTCAGTTACTAAGTTGAAAATTCAGTGATGAAATATGTCAAATTAGTGTACTTTGATGAGCTCGTGGTGGTTTTCCACACACGGAACCAGACCATAGAGTAAGTGGTGTTCGTGACTTCTCAGAAAGTTTATTATTAGATTTTCACCTCTATTCCAAAACCATAAAGTTGAAAGTATGTAATAGTTTTATTTATAACTTAGTGATCGAATTTATCGTTATCTACCGATATTCGATCTACTGACCTCAGTGGTTTGGGAACTATGGAAAAATATAATAACGCATTATAAATTAATTCCTACTTAAGTCGTAGGTACTATCTGGCCATACTTATATAGCACACGTAAGCAACATTGTTATACCAATGTTAATAAAAATTATCTTATGACTGCAGGATTGGCGCAGTGGTTGGGTGAGCGGCTGCTATGAAACGTGTCGCGGGTTGGATTCCCGCCCCGGCCAAAAAGTGACAATGGCATTTTCTGAGTATAATGACCCATTAAGTCCGGAGTCAGGGAGTTTGGCGGTGTATCACCCCCGTGCTTTGGAAAGCACGTAAAGCCGTTGGTCCTGCGTCTGATCTCTCTCCGGTTGTGTCGGTTTGCCGTCCCATCGGGTTCATAGAATGAGGGAACATGGAGCGCACCTGTGTTTGCCCACCCTTGTACACTATAATATCTCCTGCGAAGTGTGTTAGTCTAGTTAGACAGACTGGCCACCATGGTCGAAATCGATCGCGAGAATTATAATACCTATAGTAAAATTTATCTTAATTGTTTATAGAATTAATTAAAAGTAGTTTTGTTTTAGCGGTGATTGTAATTATATTTATCTTTTATTGTGATTCATTGAATGCAAATGAACGCATTAAAATTTTATCAACTCAATGTCTTATTGTTATCCAGAAGTTCTAAACGTCAAAGTAATAATAAAATGTACAATTTAAACTTCATTATGAATAATTATAAACGAGTTCTTTAATTTGAAAATATAATAATAATATTTAAAATATATTTTTTTCTACTAGCGGGACAAGTTTTATATAAATATATTTAATAAGAACAGAGTTAGGTAATGTTGAATAGACTTAATGTTCTAAGACTTCCGCTTCTCATGATTAAGTATGCGGGTTCGAAAACGACAAGTACAAATATGACTTGCGAGTTATATGTACTTTCTAAGATTATTTAGACACCACTGACACAACGGTGAAGGAAAACATCGCAAGTTTTAAGTCGCGAACCACAATTTAGCAAAAATGGTAATTATAGCTCACAGCTTCTCCGTGTTAGAAGAGGCCTTTGGTCAGCAGTGGCCAATGTTGATGATACTTAATGTTGTTTTTCACGTTGCTAACATAACCATTATTAGTTCAAATTTAAACTCGAGCCTTCTAATTAAAATAACAGTTTCATCTTTTAAAATCATTTACTATGTTAGTATTACGATATTTGCTGTAAATATTCTTCCACAGTCTGTAAGGGTCTGGATTGGGAACAGGCCCCATTTTTAACTCATCTTCAATGTATAAGAACGTCATATTTTCTTTAGTACTTGGACTCCAGTGAACAGGTAAATCAGTTGTTGGTGGAGTTGGATTACTAAAACAACATAATAAACATTACAAACGAATAATACTAAAAGCAATAGGAGTGTTCACAATACTGTGACAACATAAGAATATCTAGGTACATAATTCACCCTGGTTAAAGAATTTATTCAGATTAGTAAAGTCGCTTAACAATTTACCTATTTGTTGATTAGAATGAGACTAAAAACCTAATTGGTATATTTTTATAAAAATATTATCTAAGTGCACCACTACCTAACCTACCTACATGACTTATTGTGACGTTAAAAAATATTGGTCAATCATCACTTTTTAAACTAAATAGAATTTTAAATTAAAATTTACCTACCCATATCTCGCAAAATTTGTCCATAACCTCGTCATCCAATGAATCATAGTTTGATCTTTCTTACTAATAGCAAATGGCCAAGCGTTGCCTTTGAACAGATACATAAGCTCATCTCCATGGCAAGCTCCTGGCTCATCACTGTACCCCGTGATGTACTTGAGGAAGTTTCTTCCACCAGAGTAATTAAAGTAATAGTTATAGATAGGAGCACTAGTTTTGTCTATAACAATTTCAGATTCTAACAGAGTAGGCATTTCAAAATATAAATGTGTATTGAGATCTAACAAAGCATTTTGAGCCTTAAAACTGATGTTTTTTGGTCCAAAATAATATTCTTTAACTGCACTTGAAAGATTCGCAGCTTCGTCTTCTGAGGGAAAATTTAAATCGGGTGAAAATATGTATTTTGAATCCCTTTCTTTTAAGGTATCTTCTGTTTCTTCTGGCAATAGAATAACTCCTTCTTTGCTCGTCGTCCCATATATCACAGATATATTGTTTGAATGTTTACTAAATAAATTATAAGGTAAATCAGTCATCACTGGTTCCTCGCCTTCAATCAGTTTTTCAACACATGGATAATGTATCAATTGAAAATCAAAGTACTTTCCTATAGGTTTCTTTGGCTTAGCGGCTATCAAATCTCTGTACGGCGTTTTAGAAAATATGTCGAACATTATTTTTGGATCCTCAGTGTCATAACCAAGTTCTTTAGCTACAAGACTAGCAGTAAACAAAGGTTGTCGATTAACTGCCCAGCTTGAAGTAGAAACGCCACTTTGCAAAATTGCTCTTTTAAACAAACCCTTAGTAGCATTACTAGCTATTAACATCGACACAGATGTCGCTCCAGCACTTAATCCAAAAAGTGTGACATTGTCAGAATCTCCACCAAATGCTGCAATATTTTTCTTTACCCATCTCAAAGCAGCAATTTGATCCTTCAATCCAGCATTTCCAGGAGCTTCCTTAATACCCAAACAAATGAATCCTAATGCTCCAAGTCTATAGTTAAATGTGACTAGAATAACGTCTTGATGGATTAAGAAATCAGGTCCATATAAAAGTTTTCCACCATTTCCGATTATATAAGTTCCACCATGGATGTAAACCATGACGGGTAAGGGTTTTTTAGCTTTCACTGGTACGTAAACATTGATCTTTAGACAGTCTTCCATTCCTATCACTCCTAACAATGAAGGTTGTGGACATTGATAATGCTCATCAACTGCTCTATATACTCCCTTCCACGATACAGGAGGTAGTGGAGCCTGAAACGTAAAGATATGACTTTGATGAATTTATTTAAATTATCTGATTTCTTTACTACAAACAGTATTGCAATTTGTAAGTCATATTAAACTGCCAAGTTGTTTACAAACAATCAAAACTTACCTTGAACCTCGTGCTGCTATTAGTGGAAGCGTAAGGTATACCAATGTATTCAAAATAAGACCCATCTGCACTGACTTTACCGCTCAAAATTCCTTGTTCAATTTTTACTTCGGGCGCTGGCTGGTCCACCAAGTTTATGGCGAATAATGTGAACAAAACTATTCTTTTTCCACTTTTCATATTTGATTACTCACTTTCAAGTTTTAAAACAAACAAGATTGTTTTGTTCAGACTTTGCTCACTAAATATTCATAACGTTAAAGTTATTGGTTTCAGATACGATTTTATGAAAATTAGTCTTAGAGAAATACATTAGTAATATGATAGGTTTTTTGTTTAATTAACGATCTATTTATGTTTATTGGTCTATTAGTTCAAATGTTTTCTATGCGGGTGTTACGCGCCCGGTCCGCGGCCCTACTAGTATTTATTAGTGTCATCACTATTTTATTACAAAAAGTACTGATAGTGGTTTCAGAGGTCATCTGTTCATGGAATGTACTCGATTATTTCTTTTTATCAACCTGACAAAACAATGTCTAGACAAGGGAAGAAAGTATAATAATTAGATTGAAAAAAAAAATTAGTTAATAAAAATTCAGTTTTTAAAAATCATTTGGTTTAATCTTTTTACGATATTTTGCATAAATATTTTTCCAGAGTTGGTAGGCTTTGGGATTAGGAATTGGACCCATTTTTAATTCTTGATCTATATATAGAAACTTCATTGTGTCTTTAGTACTGGGTTCCCATTTCACTGGCAAATCTTCATTTGGTGTTGGATTTCTGAAAATAAAACATGACTTAGAGTTCTTAGCTAATTTTCCATTATCACTTTCTTTTTTTAAATAAATATTTTAAAATTATTATTATTGCGAACTTACCCATATTTAGCAAAGTTGCTCCACAATTTAGTCATCCAATCAATCATTTTTTGATCATCTTTACTAATAGGGAAAGGCCAGATATTTCCCTTGAACAAGTACAATATCTCATCACTGTGACACGCTCCAGTTTCGTTCTTAAACCCACTTATAAATTTTAGAAAGTTCCTTCCACCTGAGTAGTTAAAGTAATAATTGTACACATTACTCTCTACATTTCTAATTAAAGCTTCAGACTCTAATATAGAAGGTATTTCAAAATATAATTCTGTGTTGAGATCTATTATAGTATCTTGTACTTCAAAGCTAATATTCTTTTCACCAAAGTAAAATTTTCGTGCCATTCTTGACACATTCGCTGCCTCTTCTTCTGATGAGAATAAAAGATCGGATGCAATCATGTACTTAGCATCTCTTGCCGCTAAAGACTCCTTCGTATCATCAGGTATTAGAAACATCCCTTCTTTACTAGTTGTTCCATATATAACTGGTATGTTCTTAGGGTTACTATCAAAAATATTATACGGGTAATCTGTGACAACAGCTTCGACTCCTTCGATTTCTTTTTCCACACACGGGTAGTTTAGTAACTGTGTGTCAAAATACTTGCCAAGTGGTTTCTTTGGTCTTGCTTTTATTAACTTTTCGTGTGGGATTTTGGAAAATATTTCATAGATTTCGTTTGGATTTTCAGTATCATAACCTAAGTGATTAGCTATTAAACTAGCAACCCATCGTGGTTGTCTATTGATTGCCCAACTGGATGTGGAAGCACCACTCTGTACGATTGCTTTTTGAAACAATCCTTCTGTTGCTTTACTAACTAGTAACAGAGACACAGATGTTGCTCCAGCGCTTTGTCCAAAAACTGTGACATTATCGGGATCTCCGCCAAACGCACGAATATTTTTCTTTACCCACCTTAGAGCAGCTATTTGGTCCTTTATACCTGCATTACCAGGAGCTTCTTTGATGCCTAAGCAAAGAAACCCTAACGCTCCTAGTCTATAGTTAAATGTTACTAAGATTATGTCTTCTTTGACTAGAAAATCTGGTGCATAAATGAACTTTCCTCCACTTCCAAGTAGAAATGCACCTCCATGAATGTATACCATGACTGGAAGGGGTTTTTTGGCTAAAGCTGGTACGTAGACGTTGATTTTCAAACAGTCTTCGGTTCCAACAACGATACCAAATAATGACGTTTGTGGACATTGATATATTTCATCTACTGCTTTGTATATTCCGTCCCACGATGGTGGTGGATGTGGAGCCTAAAAAGAAAACTGCGATGGAAACACAACCTTAAGATCCTAGAAATTAATACTATTATTCTTAGTAAACAATTGTAAGACAAGGTATTTCGATGTTTGTCATGCGATTTTTATAATGGTTGTCTAGTCTGTGTTAATTTTTTTAATGATGCATGATTTAGATTTATAACAATATCTTTACTGCCGTCACCACCCGACACTGGCAGTATAGTCGACAACATCGTATTGGAGACTCGGTTGCCAAAGAAGAAAAAAAAAAACAATATCTTTAAAATGTTCATACCAGCCACCATGTAATGAACCCTGTTATTATAATTATGACATTGCATAGGAAATGGGTAGTCGAATGCAGTTGAATGCATGCAGAATCAGGAATATGAGAATAGTTGATATATTATTAGATATTTGTAAAGTGGAAGTATAATACTATACAAGGTAATAATCATGTACTGTGTGGCCTCGAAGTGCTTAGTAATGATGACATTCACAATTTTATCTAGGTATTTGTAACTACTTCATTTGTGTGGTCTTATCTTTGAGAAATTACTAATTTACAAGTGGGTATTGATTGATTGCTATTCATGAGATTTAAATTTTAATAAGTAACTTCATACTTCATCTACTTGGTTTTATCAAGTACCTACATATTTTTATTTTAAGTCTATCAATATTTTTACGACGCCTAAAATTCTAATAAATAATTTTATCGACACACTCACCTTGAACCTCGTAGTACTATTAGTACTAGCGTAGGGAATACCTATGTATTCGAAAAACGATCCATCGGTGCTTATTTTACCGCTTAAAGTCCCTTGCTCAATAGAAACTTCGGGAGCTGGTTGGTCCACTAGGTTCATCGCGAAGAGCGTAAATAAAACTACTTTTTTACCACACTTCATTTTTAAACCGTCTTTAAGACTATAAGAATAAAGTTCAATTTCCTTTGCTCACTTCACTGGAATATTCGTTAGAGGTTATGTCATAGTCGCATACAGTTAGCACGGTAAAACTACATAAATAAATACTATTTTATATGACTTTTCGGAAACTACATTAATAATAAATATCACTTTAGAGGTATAATTATTACTTCGTTTTATAACTTTGTTAGAAGGAGTGCTAACAACAATCAGGTTGAAGTGTTTATCTTATTTGACAGTTTACCGGACGGCCTTGTTGTGTGACGCGCGGCGCGCACGCGCGGTACCACTTCACTGACACATGATTATGTCATGTGTTAGAGTGAGATAGCGATACCCGGAAAAAAATGAACGTGGAACGCAACTATGTAAGTAGATAAAAACAATCGTAGATTTCTTAATTGTTAAAATGATTGTATTCATTAGAGAAATTCTGATTATGTTCTCAAAGTTACCTTAATAATATAAAAATTTATCCATATTTCCTATATTTGATAACTGTGTACGACAAATTGGTAAATGAGTTCGTACTACTTATTTTCTTCCGCCGAGTTACAAAATAAGTGTTTAGTAGTTATAATGACGTAGGTGCAACTCCTGTGATTAAGGTTCAAAGTTTGATTTAGAAAATGCATTGTTAATTCTTCGATGTTTTCAGTGGCATGTTCCAAATTATGACCAACGTTTGGAAAATTAATATCCATCTCATATTACATTGATAATATCAATATGATCATTGCAGCTTCTGTATTCTTTCACTACCTTCTGCCAGCGACTTCGCTCGCGTTTCTAGGGATAAAAAGGGTATGTGTTACTTCAGACCAGAATCTACCTCTGTACGAAATTTCATCCCGATCCCTTCAGCCGTTTTGATGTTACTAAGAAACAAACATACACATAAACTCACCTATTTTTACATTTATAATATCGATTCAAGCTAATTTCAACCATCGGCCCTACAGTAGTTACGGCGTAAAGTCCACTGCAGGCGACCTAATATTAAACAAACTTATATTTGCATTTAGTACAGTAACTGTGTCTAAGGATTAAGCCGCACAATTAAGTTTGTATTTTTGTGTATATATTTTTTCGGTATATAAAGTACACAGTTTTGTGCCCAGGACATTAAAGTATATCATACCAACGTAATAATATGTAACCTTTAATATGTTATCTCGACCCGTTAGTAATAATCATACAAAATGATAAGTAAATCCATGCAGTACTTTTTGAGATCATCCCGGATATACATACAGACAAACAAACAGACAAAAATGTTAAAAAAACATATTTTTAGCTACAGTATCGACTGTAGATCACGCCCTAAATATTCATTTAAAAAAATATTTTAAAGTACAGTTTTGTCTTTTCTGCGATTTTATTATATGTAATATAGAAGATAGATGAGGTAACCTACCTTAAATGTAAGTAAGTTTTATAAATATAAGTTTGTGCATTATTAAACAAGTATTTTAATTAAAGAAACAAATCGTGTGAACCAGTTTTATTGCTAAAGATATAAATAGACGACAAATGAATTACTTATTTGAGAAGCATGACTTTCAAGGAATTCATTTCGAGTTTATTTATAAGTTGACACAATTTTCGAAATATTAGAGAATTAAGGAGTTAGGAGAGTACGAATTCTATTACAGTTGGGTTCCATCATAAACGAGAACAAATTAATGTTTATAAATAAAGATGTGTTGATCTTCCATTAGTACGTGTATAATGACCGTACAATTTAAATACAAACCGGGTCGCCCTGACGTGCCTAAACAGGCCATTTTCTCGTCGCGTCGCATGTCCAAAATTTATTTGAATAAATTACGGAAAAGGCGAAAACTGTTGAATTTTAACCCGATCCCAAACGTGACTGACGAGCGCCGGCGCTGAATTTTAAATATTTTTCCTACACTTAAATTATTATAATACCATTAGGATATAATGACTCAAAGGACTTTTGGAGAGGTCCTCGTCGAGTGTGCTCTCCCGTTATATTTGTTTGGCAAACCATTATTTATTTGTGCGGCTTTATTCACAAACATTTAGGAACTGAGAGTTTCCCTGAAAAAAGACAATTAAATTATCTTGTTTATATAACTTTCAAACTAATTTGGTATCTGCTTCGTATGTCAAACACTCATGTATATATATTTAACTAATATATATTTTATGTATCTAAATTTTGTAAAAATCAACGTTGCCTTATTTAAATTTCATTTCAAAAATAAAATTACTATCAGCTATTTACATCTCTTTAATGGGTAAAGTACACCATTGCATTGTGTTAAAACTTACATAAAGAGTGCGTCGAACGATTATTAAGTTGTTATGCAAGTATAAAAATATCTCACTGCAAAAACGAAAATATGTATCTTGATCAAAATGCTTAGCGAGCAACATCGCTACCGTATGCGATCCGGTTGGTCGACATCAGAACACCCTTTTAAAAGAAGTTACAGCTACTTCAAAGTAATAACAAGTTATTTGACAAACGAAGAGACCCGCAAAAACTTTTCCATCTCGCGCTTATGAATTCAAAAGTGTTAAATTCTCTAAGTACCGATTGGTAGGGGCAAAATCGATTCCCGATTTGCATCGAAGACGGAACGAGTGGGCTATTACTGATGACTCCGAAACTAATCTTCAAAGACTTGGTAAGGTGCTGCTTGAATTATATTAATGATTTTTCATTACATATTTTTTTGAATGAGTAGCAGTTTGGTTGGTCTGGCAAAGTATTACTGAGTTTTTAAAAAAAACCCAGGAGCACGGAATTTGGAATTGTGCCCTGTATATCGCAATAGGTTCACCCCCTATTACATAGGACTCATAACATAAATAGTGAAGAGTGGGTGTTACATTACCTTAACTGCCGTAATATGTATCTCTGCCTATCTCTTCGGAGATAAAATGCATGATGTTAAATACTTATCACTGTTTATGTTATGTTAATTAATAGTTAATACTTCTTTTGTTCTCAAATTATCATTACATCAATATTCCGGTGCATGCTTACCTTCTTATCTACTGTTGACTTGACTTGATATTTCACATAAACAAATACAAAATATTGATTTTACTATTATCGTATTTGACCGTCAAATATTTATGTTTGAAATAGAACAAAGCATTGAATATCGCTTTGAACGTTTGTATCCAAACAAAAACGCGACTAAAAGCAAATCGTTTATCGATAATGGTGTTACTGCTAGTCTTAGAAAACATAGTACATGTATGAGAGAGTACGATAATGGGACGAAAACACCAACTAGAGAACGTTGACTGACAAAAAATAGAAGCAAAAGTTCCACTCATGCAATCCGCGACCGCTTAAATCAGGCGGGGCATTATTACGCAGGAACAATACAGTCACAGTCCACCACTTCAACACGCGCCGGCCTTTTTGCAGTTTTTACAACCGCCCAAATTTCGTTTCATTTCAACGTTACTGATTTAAAGCTGGGAGCTCAACGTTCGCTTTTATAACATTGTCAGTTTTTAGAAACACCTTTTGTAGCTGCTTTTAGGAATTGTGCCAGTTACACACATGGTATAATTTTACTAATACATATTATTTTGTCTTGTCCAGTAAAAATAAAAATAGGGTTCAATATAGTTTATTATTTTATAAAGATTGTACACACGGCCACACATCAATCTATACATTACCAGTTTACCCTGGGGTTGCGTCGCATCATCTTTCCGCACATTTAACGTTCAGTTTATACTGGTTATGTAAAGCTCAATGTGTAGCCGTGTGTACACGTTAAAATACTTACATTTTTCATTATGACATGGAAAGTATCGTTCACGTAATATCGTATTTATTTACAGTTGTTAAAACCAGTTAAGAGAGAATGACTTATCGTTGTTTTTCTCTCACCACCATCCAGTGTGCACTGTCTCTGCGTCACAGCATGAACTCTGCACAGTGGCCCACCAAGTGGTAATATTCGCACAATTAAAGCGCACACTAGAGTCTGCTTTGGATTGTATACCGTATGTGTATATGATAGACGAGTTGTAGTCATATGAAGGAACAACAAAACATACACACATACTATGTTTAGAAGTGTTTCTTTATCTTTGAACTAGACACTTGTTGCTGGTCCAAGTTTAGCTACAAGTTATTATAGAAACAGTAATACAATTATACTGATTTATTTATTGATTAAATCTGAAGGATTTTATAATACTAATAGGTACTTACTCGTACGGTTTCACTCACTGCTAGGCTCTTACTGATCTTAGCGAAATGTTTAATTTTTTGGTATACCTAACCTATACAGTACTTTAATTAATGGATAGTTTAACACAAAAAGAGTTTTTAATGCGAACCACTTGTTCTGGAGATTAACGCGTTTAACCAAGTAAACAGACAAAAACTCTTTTGCTTTATAACAATTAAGTATAGATTTATACAAATACGAATCTTCACTGAAAAGCACATACATTTTGATATTAATAATATTCAGCGTTAAGCCTTTCGAACCATAACTCTAGTTAAATATGGCAACTGGAGTTTCATAATAACCAAACAATAAATCAACCGTCGGAAAACCTTTAAGAACGCATGACATACTTCAGTTAACCTAAGACAATAATAAATCTAATTCGGGTGACGTCATTTTATCTTGAGGAGACGTTGATAGATCATCGTAGACTAACATAACATTCATTTATAAGCAGCGTTAAAACTCGGTTGTTTTTGCTCTTCATTAATAACGAAGTATTGTGAGGATTACAGGATTTGTTCAGGGTTCAGGGTGAAGGGTGTGTGACTGTTGTGTGTTCGGGTAACTGATACTGTGGGCTTAGGACTGCTCTCTTCGAGTATTTACTCTCGGATCGTGGAATGACACGTTACAATGTGCTTTGGTTTCCTCCGTGTTAGCGTTGTTTGTATGTTTGTTTACTTATCCGTGGATCACTATTTGCTGATCTGTTGATTACGATGATTTTATTTTAAATAATTTTGTGATAGTGATGATAGTGCTATTACAACAGTTATTAAATTACTAGCAAGTAAGTAAAGTATTACCGGGTTTTTGAAAAAAACTTAGTAACTAGTAGCAACGGGTCTAGGATTGTGCTCGGTATATTATTATGGCAATAGACTCACCCCTATTACATGGGACTCATAACATAAATAGTGAAAAGTGGGTGTTACATTGTACAGTGGCATTAAATACCTCTGCCTACCTCTTCGGGGATAAAAAGGCGTGATATTTTGTTATACTATTAAAGTACTATATTTAG